CCACGTTCAACACAATACAAAAATTTACTAAAATATCTCTCACAAACCCTGAATTAAACACAATGATAACCTTTAAGTTTCTGTATTCATGGAATAGCACTTTTTTCAAATTTACATTTTTTTCTTGTTTTGCAAAAATATCCTCCTTTGATTTGTATACAACAATAAACAGCACCTATACACCAGAGCTCAGCAGCCCATGTCCATCATTCATGCATGTTTTAAAATTGTTCCAATCAATTTTGTGTTCACATCTCTTTTAAGCTTTTCACAACGAAAAGGTTTTTATTGATTTATGATCTGGATGTTAAAAAATTATAATTTGAAAAAAATTCAATGGAGGCAGCAAAGAAACTAAAACGTCACATTTATTGAGGCTTCCTTCTGAAAGAGCAACCTGTAAATTGGAAAACAAAAACAACATTATTAATGGATTCACATATTGGTGAGGGAAAAGCATGCAGTGGGAACTTACCTTCTGTGAGCTTAGCGCGACCACCGGTTGGCTGGCACAAGATGGTAGCACATCCCGCACATACAACAACGCCTTGAGCGTGGCTGAAGACGGTTGTGATTCTGTAGCAGCCGGGGCACTTAACATCCATGAAGTAGGAGTTGGGGTGTTGCACCAAGCGCTTCAGCTTGTGTTTACGCTTCTCTTGAGCGGGCAATGGGTGTAACAAATCTTTGGCTAGCTGCAAAACAATAAATTGACAACATTAGTCACCATCACTTTGGAGACATGATCTCCAGAGGTCCACGCCTTAAAATGTTGGTATCAACAGAAGAAAAAATTGCAAAACTTGGTTGTCCATGCCCAGAGAATGTGGAGGGAGGTTATGTCTTAAAGTTGTTTATCAGTACCACTTCTTCGAGTTCATTGTTTCACCGTATGCTAATTTCCAGACAAAATTTTTTTGTTGGAAAATTTCACAACATTCTGAAACTTTATCCATTAGTTATCACTTATCAATTGCATTGGTCGGTCATATTGCAGCTATTTGCTGACATTCATTCACTCATAAAAGAAATGCCATGTGTATGTTATTCCCTCTCTTTTACTCGTCTCACGCACAACCACACAACAGACACAAATTTATTCATTTTTGCCACTTTCCACAAGATTTCGCTAGTTTTCCCATGTTTTTCATGCAACACTAGGACTTGCAAACAATTTGTGCATATTTTCCGAACAGTTTTGCAATTTTTTCGTTTATTTTAAGGCATTTTTCTGAAAATTTTCACCCACCGGCATGTTTATTCTTTCACAGCTAACACGGAAAAGGAAGTAGATTATGGGCGAGCGAAGTTAGATGTGGTTTATATGTATGACAATTTCACCACTAGAAACACTAGTGCCATCTATCAGTGCATAGTATTCAGGGTTGCATTTCCATGGGATAACAGGGTAATCACAAGGAACGCAAAATATGTACATGTTTGTTTTGCACTTAAAATCGCGTTTTGATGCATATTTTTTCGAGTATTGGTTTGTTTTACAGTTAATATATTTTTCTTCTTATTTCAGCATATATGTTAATCAGTATTTATGTGATTTTTTATAGTTTCATTACAAAACATTTTTATGTATGTGTGAGTCGCCCTGTTCATATATTTGTGAAATTATAAGAGTGTTACCAGATGGCTGCATGGAGTTATTAATTTCATGACATTTGTTAATTTCTTACCACAGTACGTCGGAGCACAGTGTTTAATAAAATGTAACCAAGTTGTATGGGGTAACAATCGATTTCATTCTAGTTGTGGTTCTAAAGAATACACTTACACATGTTGATAGTATTAACAAAACGCTTTATATATTTTTGTTATGATATAAAAGCACCGTAATCTCTCTCGAAATAAATTTTGCAAAAATTAACAAAAATCAACGAAAAATATTGTAACAAAAGAAAAAGTAGAAACATTTTCCCCGAACAAAAACATGAAAACACTAAAACGATCCTATAGACAACATATAAGAACTGTGGTAGATAATTGGTTAAAGATATTTTAAGACATTGGTTCTAGCATGGCAAAATCAGAAAGGTAGTTTAACTTCGAAGGAAGTGGGAAAAATGCAACTCTGTCATTGTTATAGCCTCCATCATAGTATGAATGGTATATTAAGTTTGCCATTCCGAAATATACATTTTAGACCCTATAAAGTATATATATTCTTGATCAGTATTAAATTCTATGTCGATTTAGCGATGTCCGTCCGTCTATCAGTCTGTGGAAATCACTCTAGCTTTCGAACGAAATTAAGTAGATTGATAACATTTTACTCAGATGTATATCATGTCTGCAGGACTCTTGCTATTGCAAATGGCTCATGTACGTCCACGTTTTGGTATCGCTCCCATATAACGGTATCACCCGAAATTCGGTATTTTGATGATTTTAGCGACATTATTTACTGGAATTGTTTCAAATTTGGTATTTGAAATTTGTACAGAATACTATAGCATATGACAGGAGATTGTCTGTGTAGGTCCACGTCTACGTATAGTCCCCATATAACGGTACCTCCCGATATTCGGCACTTTGATGATTTTAGCGACATTATTTACCAGAATTGTTTCAAATTTGGTATTTGAAGTTTGTACTGAATACTACAGCATATGACAGAAAATTTTGTGTGCAGGTCCACGTCTTCCTATAGCCCCCATATAACGGTACATCCCGATATTCGGTATTTTAATGATTTTAGCGACATTATTCATCGGAATTTTTTCAAATTTGGTATGTGAAGTTCGTAATGAATACTACAGCCTATGACAGAAAAGTGTCTGTGCAGGTCCATGTCTTCGCATAGCCCCATACCTCCCATTATTCGGTATTTTGATGATTTAAGCGACATTATTTACTGGAATGGTTTCAAATTTAGTACTTTAAGTTCGTAATGGGTACTACGGTCTAAGGCAGAAAATTGTCTGTGCATGTCCACATTTTGGTATAGCCCCCATATAATAGTAACTCCGTATATTTATGATTTTAGCCACATTATTCAAAGATTTTCTTTTTAAGTTTCGCATTTGAATAATGGCTTATGACAAAAGTTGCCTATGCAGGTCCAAGTCGTCGTATAGACTTTTTAACGGATTTTATTTTTTTTAATGCCAAATTCCTTCCAAATGGTGGATGGTATTCAAAGTTCGGCCCGGCCGATCTTACAGCTTTTTTACTTGTTTAAATTAGAATTTTAGAGCACACAACAATTGGTAGAGATTACTTCAAAAAATTGTCTACCAAATTAAAAAAGAAACAGGAGTACAGTATTGCTTTATTCGAAAATTGTAAAATTTATTCCAACTTAACGTCAAACGAATTAATTTTTTTTCAACTAAATTTGAAGAATTTCATGCTTTTTTCTATTCACGATTCACGTCGAAGTCGCGATTTTTGACAGCCAGGTGCCCTTATGAATATCGATATGATAAAGGAACTTAAAAGCTCCAATGTAAACAATGTTGTTCAACTTCAAAACAACTGGGAAAATGCAACTATAGGCTGGAGTCCTATTGTGTCAAATAGTCACTTAAGTATTCAACAGTTGATTTTGTTTTTTTTTTTCAACTGAATTTGAAATAATTTTGAGATTTTCTTTTTTATTTAAAATAATATTCAGTAATATACAAACTGAGTATATGTTTTGACAGAATAGGGGCATCAAAAAAAAAAATTGTACTTAGGAGGTAGATTGGTTTTGCCTTCTATTTATGTGCTATGAAATCTTTTGCAAAAATATGATATACAATTGTATCAAAAGTTTCCATTGACAAAAATAAAAAAGGAAAGATCCTAGTGTAAAGAGACAAGTATTGCTTATAAATTAATGATGGCTTCTTTAAGCCATAGACTCAAAGTATGACATGAAGTAATAAATCTTTGAATAAAAAAAGATGATTCTACCCACAATATCAGGTTCTTTAAGATTTTTGTCGTGTATTTATATATGCATATGTAGTTAATGTTTTACAATGTCATAATAAATAAATGCGAAAAAAATGCATTCATTACTTGAGGGTTTGTCAAATTTTTAATATTTGTTCTACTACAAAGAATAGAATTGTTGAATTTCTTCCGATTCTGTTTGTATAATGTCATATTCAAACGTAAAAAGTAGCAGATGTCTCGTAATAAGTGTAGCACCCGTGTGTGTCTTTATTACGTTCATGTGCTCTATCATGATATGTTTTATGTAAAATACATGGAAAAGTAGTGTTACAAATTGTGTGAACTTTCCATGAAACAAGTATTTAACAAGTGCAATAACTTCTGTCCAGAGCTGCCGATTAAATGTTTTCTTTTTTCAAAATTCCAACAATAATAAACTTGCATGAAAAACGTGATTTGATGCATCTCATAAAGGGATGGAGTGTAAACAATGCATAACACAGCCATTAAAAAAACACAACACGTCCACTACTACTTCAACTCTAAATGAGTTGGCAACACTAATACGCTCAAGTATTACCAAACCAAAAAACACTTCGGATCATTTCAAATTGAAAAACGGCCAAACTGTGCAGCAATTTTCCTTTTTCACGTTGGCCTTTGGAAGAAACACAAGTGAAATACTTTGAACAAGTAAGAATTTATCAATTTTTTCATATCTCTGTATACAAAAGTATTATATTTCCTTTCCTAGTATAAGAAATGTATTCCCTTAATGGCTGCCCCGAAAAAGATGCATTGCAAATAAATATGGAAATTATTTCGAAGGAGTTAAATGATTTGGTGGTTACGCATGTGAAAGATTGTGGAACAGTGGTTGCGGACAAAATGCAGCACTCAGGAAACCAGAATATTATTAGCAGTATTCCTCCCAAGTTTGCTGGGACGCAATATGTTAACAATTGTCATCAAAGTCCGTATATGTTGACCAACCAGTATCAGCTAAATCCTAATTCGCTTGGAGATACCTATATGAATCATTCTTTTGCATCACATGAATCACAACTTCCCCAGGGAAATGCAAACAGCATTACTGCATCAAATGCCCCATGTTTCTCTACTTCTGGTTATTCTGGACCAGCACTTAATAGTGCTTATACAACACCTCTTGGTTATGCTCCTATGCAACCTTATCGGAGACAGCAAATGAATGCTCACAAAATCAACTCTCCTCCCCTATTATCTATAGCCGCTACAGACAATCTTAATGGCCCGCACAGTGCATCTGGAGGATCATATAAAAAGTTCGTTAAACCAAATACCAGATTCAACATGATGTCAAAAAATCATGATTATGATTATAAAAACATTGTTGTGGATCTCTTGGCGTTGGGTATTAGAAAGGATGGGTAAGTCAATATTTTTCCAAAATATGCCACATGTTTCAATTTTTCTCTTTCAGAAAAGAGCCCAATTTGGTGCTGCGTCTGTTTGGCCTCTTTCGTGACTTGCACATTGCCATTGGCGAACAACCACCAATAATCGAACCCCCTACATCAAATGAAAGTGTTTATGTGCCAACATTTGCCCCATTACCCAAAATTGTTTTACCTTGCACCATGAGTGTGCAGTGTCAGGTGAAATATGCCACAACCCAGGTAGCTACTTTTCTGTATGCCATGAAACGTTTGATGGCTGTGAATATCGTTTACGATCATAATTTGAATGCCGAATGTGAATTATATATCATAAAGTTACGTCAAATGTTGGCCCAGTTTGAAATGTACAAATTCGTCGAGTTGAAACACAAACGTGGACAGTTTATCAATGAGAGTGTAAGAGGTAAGTAGAATGAAAAAAATCGTATTTGAATTGGAGTTTCTAAATTTTTTTTAAATTTAATGAATGAAAGTTAAGAAGATATGTAACCGGGTCTTTGTAATCGATATTAATTTTTTGTTACCAGACCTCTACTGCTATCGAAATCTATCTCTAACCAGAGTCGAAAGATACCTTTGCCCTAAAAGAATTAAATTAATACGATATTCAACTTTCTCGACTTCGTCATTAGATAAAGACAATGACCTTGAACACAATTTGTATAGCTCGAAACCTTGCTTGTGGATACTATCAAATGCATTTCTAAAAGTGGAACTGAGTGTTATTAAAGCTTTTTATACTTTACACCACATAGTGGTAAGGGTTATGTCTTTGTGCATTTTTTTGTAACACGGAAAAGGAAGCGAGATAGACCCATAATTCCTTTTGATGATCTGCATAGAATTACATTCTGAGTCGATTTATGCATGTCCGCCCGTCTGTCCATGTATCATTGTAAACGAAGTACAGGTCGCATTGTCCGAAGAAATTTTGCACAAGTCATTTCTTTGACCCAAGGATGAACCCTATTGAAATTGTAGGAAATCAGTCAATATATCTTTGCCCGATTTGCCTTTTATTGTGCACCAAACGTGTAATATCAGCCCAAAAAGTATGGAATTTTTACATACGACCAAATTAAGCCTGAAAATATAAATATGCCAAATTCAGATATAGCTATAGCTCCCATATATATTCTTCATCCGATTTGTTAAATTTCTCGTCCACAGCCGTAATATACACTCCGCAACGACGATATTCGAGGAAATATATCAAATAAACCTTAGAAATGCCAAGTTTTTTCGAGATCGGTTCAGATTTGGATCTAGCTCCCATACATATCTTCGTCCGATTTGTCTTTTATTGTGTCCCAAGGGTGTAATATTAGCACAAATGGGATAGAATTAGAATTTAGAATTGAGCCTAGAAATAAGTATGTGAAATGTGGTGAAGATCGGTTGAGATATAGATATAGCTCCAATATATATTGTTCATTCGATTTGTCATTTTTGTTCAGATTTGGATTTAGCTCCCATATATATTATATATTTTTTATCCGATTTCAAGTTAATTGTGCACCAAATGGGTAATATAATACCGAATTGAAAAGGCACAAATGTCTTGGCAAATTTAGTAGAAATCGATTCAGAGGAGGATATTCCTCTTATATATTAAAGTAATGGTTGTAGTTATGACCTTGAATTTACTTTATCAAAACTTCTTAAGACACAAAAACAATTTAAACCCATACTTAAACCTCCTAATTTGTTGTTGGAAATGTTGAGGCAAATTACAAATTTTGTTTGGCTGGTGTCGTTTTTGTTCTGGTTGGGTTTAAATTGAAAAGTTTTAAATTGGTGATTGGACAGCCATGTTCTGACAGAATCTCTTCTGAAAAGGTTAATGTATATTATATCTGCAAGACTTTTGATATTGAAAATGGACCATGTGGGTCCACGTTTTGGTATAGCCCCCGTATGACGGAACCTCCCGATATTCCGTATTTTGATGACTTTAGCGACATTATATACCGGAATTGCTTCAAATTTGGTACGTAATGGATACTACAGCCTATTACAGAAAATTGTCTATGCATGTCCACGTTTTGGTATAGCCCCTATATAACGGTACCTCCCGATATTCGATATTTTGATGATTTTAGCAACATTATTCACCGATTTTTTCTTTAAGTTTAAGTAACCTATGCAGGTCCATGTCGTCGTATAGACCCTAATATTACATTCGGTATTATTAAGATTTTAACCGAATTTTTAACGGATTTTGTGGTTTTTGAGAACTGCCAAATTCGTTTCAAATAGTGGAGGGTATTCAAAGTTCGGCCCGGCCGAACTTACAGCTTTTTTACTTGTTTTTAAATAAGTTTCTTATTCGATGGACATATCCTTTTACCAACTCATCTCTAAAATTTAAAAAAAATGCGATTTGTTCGCCACTGGTTATTAAATTAATTATTTACCCAAGTGACAAGTGAATATCTCAGACAAATACAAGTGATGATGAGGATTGGTGGCTCTTTCCGAAACCTAGGTATTCCCTGCCTTACCCCCTGGTAAACATTATCATCTTTCTTTACTAACAAACGTTCTTTTATAAAAACAACAACAATGGGATTAAGTCCGATTATTTTGCAACAGTTACATTTTTTATAGTTTATATTTATTAAAAAAAAGTACTAATTGGGAAAAAATGCGTTCTTAGTGCATGCTGAACATTTGGAAAAAATCATGGAGCAAATGAACCATCAGATACGAGAAGTAAATCTACGTGTTATTGCAGCCGATTGGTTTATAGCCAAGAAGTATGGACGTAACATGGGAGTTACTCCCAAGGCTGCAACTAAACCAGCTGATCTGCCGTATACGATCGATAATGGGGTCATTAATGAAATATTACAACTCTGTGCTCCAACCGCCAATGCCAAAGAAGCAGCTGACGGCTTGGATAATGCAGCAAACGGTGTGACCCAAATAAACTCGGCTAATGCAGAGTTGTCCAGAGCAGCTGCCGTAGACAACCATGCTGCTACTACTGCTGTTGGTGCCACATGTTTAACTAAATTTAATGGCCATCCAGCTCATAATCGCCAACCGGTTTTTTATATTGGTTAAAGGCCATCAATCAATCTGTGATGATTGCGTGAAAAAATGCTTTATTACACAAATTTATATATATTAATTTTTAATTATTTTCAAAAACAAAATATTAGCTTGTAGTTTTGTTTTATATGCCTATTTTAAGTATTTTCTTTTGAAATATTAGTTTGTAGTTCCATTCCATTTTTAGAATCTTTTTCTGTATGACGATACAAAGGGCAATGTGAAGAAAACACCATTCCAAATTAGTTTTTAAAATTTTCGTATTTTCAATTAAAATTTTAAAAATTACATTTTAAAAATTATATTTTACAATTTTAAAAATTACATTTGGAATGACGTTTTTCCTTTGCATTCACTTTCGTATTGTCCTACAGAAAAAGGCCTTTATTAATTATTTGTTTAGGTTTAAGTTTTTATAACTTAAAATTGTAAATATTTTTGTTCAATTTATTTATACTTTTTAATTGTTTGTACATATTATTTTAAATTATTTATACAATATTATAATTATTTAACAATTTTTTCGTAATTATTTCTCTAACAAACTTTTTGTAATTATTTTAGTGGATATTTTTTTATTCCACTTTATTTATATTCTCCGTTTTTCTATTGTTGCATTTGCTTGTTTTGTAATGGATTATTTGATTTATTTTCCCCTTTTATTGTAATTATTTATGTCTTCTTGTATTTGTAGTCTTTGTTTTACAATTTTCCCCAAATTCCAAGCACAATTGTGCAAGTTTTTAGTTATACTTAATTTGAGGTCCTATCTTAAGGTTTGTTATTCAAATCCCTAAGCATCTATAATATAACAAAAATAATTTAACGAAAAACCTCTTTCGAAACTCATACTTTCAGTTTTATTAATATTTTAGAAGTCCTATATTTTTAAATGCGTTATGGGATCTTTTGATCTTTAAATGGAATCTATTTGATACTCTTTCTGAAGCAATGTAATATACATATTTTGAAATCCCCCACATTTCTGGATTGAAACTGAATTTTTTATTTAAAATTTTGGAAAAAACATTCCAAAATACTTCGTTAAAACAACCCTTTGAATAATCAATTTTTTCTTACAAATCCATTGGCTTTCATAAAATTTATTAAAAATGTCTTAATACTTCAAGATGATACATTAAACCCCTAAATAAGTGGATTCCTGAGGTTTTGTTATTTCAAAGTTTCAGACAACCGTCCATAATATTCGGTTGAAGTAACCTGAATAGTCTCTCTGTTGAAGCAACCTCCTGCATAATCTCCTGTTTTTTAATTTGTTAGAAATCTTTAGGGCTACAATAATAGGTTTAACATAAAACATTTCTAAGTTTCCAAAATTGATTTTTGATTTTTGTTTTCATAAAATTTGTTAAAAATGTCTTCGATTTTAGATATCTCAACATGATACATTTAATCCCTAAATTAGTAGATTTAAACCGTTCCTAATACTCAATGTTCTCCTGAATAAGCTTCATTTTAATTTATTACAAATACTTAAGTTAGCCTTGAACACCCAAATTTTCCTAGCACTCCAATTGTTTTTAATTTTCTGTTTTCCCAAAATTTGTCAAAAATATCTTTGAGTTTTAATCTTTTACATGAAATCTAAACATATTTTTTGTTGCAAAGTTTAGGATTATTTTAACACATTTAACATTTATACAATGAATTATTTCTTTTTTTGCAATGGAAACTATTTTTAAATTCCTTTAAGAATTAATTCACTTAATGAATACAAAAACATATGCTAGTCTTTTGAATTATTTGCTTTTAACAATATCCATTTTTAATGTTCAATGATTTTATTTATTTTCAAAAATAAAATTGAATTCCAATTATATTTTGTTTTATTTCTTAACCTTTCAAAGTGGTGATCAATAATATTTAGCTTCCTCCCGCCTCCTCCTAACATACCCTGGATGTATAAAGCTGCGTTTGGCTCAAAGATGAAAGAAGGCACGGCAGCCGGAGTCTTTTATGAGCAACTAGGAATGGTCTATTCCCAAGTTGGGTAGAAATTGCAAATTGATCATTAAAGCGGCATGCTTGATTAAAACTATAGAGAATGAAAGCGGTTGCTGTTTATGTGGATAGTCAAGCGGCTCTTCTACAATCAATTCCGATCCAGTCCTGAGGAGTAGAATGCCCCATCTTATCTTCATTGTACCATACATCGAACGGTATGGAGGTTATATTAAGTTTGTCATTCGTATAGCCTCCATATAACGGCTCCTCCCGATATTCGGTATTTTGATGATTTTGGCAACATTATTAACCGGAATGGTTTCAAATTTGGTATTTGAAGTTCGTAAGGGATATTACAGCCTACGACAGAAAATTGTCTGTGCAAGTCCACGTCTTCGTGTAGCCCATATAACGGTACCTCCCCATATTCGGTATTTTGATGATTTTAGCGACATTATTCACCGGACTTGTTTCAAATTTATTATTTGAAGTTCTTAATGGATACTACAGCTTAGGACAGAAAATTGTCTGTGCAGATCCACGTCATTATTCACCGATTTTTTTCAAGTTTCGCATTTGATTATTGTAATGACTTATGACAAAAGTATCCTACGCAGGTCCACGTCGTCGTATGTATAGACCCTAATATAACGGCTAAATTCGGTATTTTTAAGATGTGAACAGAATTTTTAACGGATTTATTTTTTTTTAAATTGCTATATTTGTTCCCAATGATGGAAGGCGTTTAAAGCTCGGCCCGGCTTTACAGCTTTATTACTTGTGATAGTATTATCACCGCTGTCCATGTGATGAGATGTGTGGGCGTTTATCTCGTGCCGTATATTTTCATATTCCTTGCATTAAAAAAGGCGTAAAAATCAACTAAATAATGATCCTACCTATGACGGATGAAAAGGTCTACGAACTTGATTGCAATTGAATTCTGACTTTAAAAAAGGGCCAGTAAACGCATCTCCATTAATATAATAATTGTGGTTATAAAGGCATTGGTATTAAACATTGAAATATTAGAATTTTGACAGGCATAATTCTACTTACTTTGTTGAGTACCTTAAAAGAAATTAACACACAATAACAATATTTTTATAAAATTTATTTTTCATAAATTCATTGGAAATATTCAGCATAAGGTTGGTGTGCAAAGAATTTACCAATATATGACTTAAAAACCAAACCCAGAGCTTTGCTGAGACCCGGCTGAATTTCATGGAATATCTCACTCCAATTGGCATTTAAGAAATCATTTGTTGACGCCTGCAATGCTGCATCACCATCGAATAAGTGGTCAAAGAAAAAGTGTACATTGTCGGGTTCAAATTGCAACTTGACATGCTCTAAGGCGGCGTAGATTTTTCCATCCTTTTCGACTTTTTTGAAATCCCATGAAAAGTCGAATTTTATATTTTCTTGCAAAAATTAAATATGAATTATGGAAATTAAAAAAAAAAAATTGTGACCTGTTGACGATACCAAAACGAATGAATGAGAATGAAAAGCACGAAACTCACGTCGCAGTGGCCGAAAGATGGTTCGTGAGCTGAACATATCGTAATATACCATTCGGCAAATATTGAAAAATTAGCTCGGGCTCGTGGTAAAGCCATTGAAATTCCAAAAAATGCAAGAACTTACATCGCAACAGAAAGAAAATAGACTTAAAAGAGCTAAAGAGTGGTGAACTGCCGAATTTGGTTTTCTCCGATGAGAAAACATTCATCAAACATCAGCAGTTTGTAAACAAACAAAATGATCGTGTTTACTTGCCAAAGAGGTCAGGTCAAATATCGAAGTGTCGATCAGAACCACTTTTGACGCCAATTTCATTCTTGCAGGTTCTGGAACAAGTCATATGTTTCTCACAACAAACTTTTTAGCCACATGGGCTCACCTTATATAGGCCTTGTTTAATTTGAATGACAATTTGGAATGGTGCTTTTCGTTTGCCTTCACTTTCGTATCGCCATAGAGAAACTGGCCTATACTTACTGCATTTAATTTCAGAATTTCCATCGCCCTTAATCGGCAACACCAGTACATTGCCATCAAGCATATATTTGCCCTTGATTGTTAAGGAGTCCAGGGAGCCCGCTATAACATTGCGACCACTTAAATCTTCCTTTAAGCCCCTAAAAACAAAAACATTTTTAACATTTCTCTTATCTTTTAGGCGATGGACGGACTTACTGGAACTTTTCTAATTTGATGTCCTTGAAACCTTCTACAATTACATCCTTCAGTTTGATATCCACATTCACAGGACTTGCGGGATTTCTGGCCACATTTAACGTTTTCAGGGAAAATGGATCGATTGGCAGCAAATTGACATCTGCAACACCACTGATGTGATTCTTTAGAATATCAGCTGCGCCTTTTATGAAGCAGGGCTCATCGCCGTGTTTGCATTTGGGAAAGTTGGATGCTAAAAACAACAAATATGTGTGATTATATAGTAATAGTAAATAATATTGGTAAACAATAATAGTAAATAATAATAGTTATAATAATGGTTAAAATAATTATAAGGCTGATAATAACAGAAAAGTCGGTTCACTTACGATATCCTCCATAGGCAATTTGTAGAATAAGAAACGTTATAAAAATGCAAAATTTCATTGTCAACCGAATTTTTGGCCGTTCCACCTGCTGCTCCAACTGTTTGTAGTGCACTTCTAAATATTTTTCTTTTGTCTGCCAAATTTATATGTCTACTATAAAATATTGAATGTTTTTTTAATTTTTTATTGAGGACAAGATTCTGACAAGTTTGAATTTTTAATTGGGAAACTGGTTTTTTAATATTTTCGTTTTGGTTAAAACTGCGATTATTGGATTAGGTGCAGTTCTATAAGTGTTGCTTTGTTTCTTATTTTTTAATGATGGGCAATGCAATGTAATTAATTGATTTGAGACCGGTACCGTAGGAAATGTAATCGTAAATCATTGGAGATATATCCGTAATCAGAGACTTTTAGAGGAAGAAATCAGATTTTGGGCGAGGTATAATTTTTTTGCTCATTGGGTTAATGGATAATGTGATTTATTGATTAGAGAAGAAATGAATATTTTTATAGCCTCCACCATAGTATGGAGGGTTTATTAAGTTTGTCATTCCGTTTGTAAAATACATATATATACAGGGTGCGATAAAAAATCTGCAACAAAGTCAAACCCCATTATTTTTTTTTTTAATGTTATTGAATGAAAGCAAAAAATGTCGGAAATAGCATCAAATTTTAGAATAAATTTAGATTTGTTCGAATTGCTCACCTTTGGCACGAATTATGACCTTCAAACGGCCAATGAAACCGTTACACGCTGCCCGAATGTTGCTCTGCGGTATTTTGGCCCATTCCCGGCGAAGCGCTTGGTTGAGGTGATCGACACTTTGGAGAGCGACCATCGGCTGTTATGGCTGCCCACACCATTACCATGGCCTTCGATTGAGTTCTGGTGGCCAACCGAAGGTGCACATTTTCAGCTGACCTCATTGGCAACGAATGTTTTCTCATCGGAGAAACCCAAATTTGGCAGTTCATATAATGAGTCACTGGAATAATTTTAACAGCTGTCAGACGAATGGCTTAAAATGACAGCAGTCTGAAGTTGGGTGCAATTTTTTCATCTCACCCTGAATATTCTTGATCAGCATAAAATTCTATGTCGATTTAGCGATGTCCGTCCGTCCGTCTGTCCGTCTATACGTCTGTAGCTTCTGAACGAAATGTAGTATGTTCATAAAATTTTACTCAAATGTATATTATGTCTGCAGGACGTTTGGTATTGAAAATGGGACATGTAGGTCCACGTCTTCGTATAGCCCCCATATAACGGTACTTCTTGATATTCGGTACTTTGATGATTTTAGAGACATTTTTCACCGGAATTGTTTTAAATTCTGTATTTGAAGTTCGTAATGGATACTACAGCCTATGACAGAAAATTGTCTGTGCAGTTCCACGTCTTCGTATAGCCCCCATATAACGGTACCTCCTGATATTCGGCATTTTGATGATTTTAGTGACATTTTTCACCGAAATTGTTTCCAATTTGGTATATACAGTTCGTAATGGATATTACTGCCTACGGCAGAATATTGTCTGTGCAGGTCCACGTCTTCGTATTATAGCCCCCATATAATGGTCCCTCCCTATTATCGGTATTTTGGTCATTGAAGCGACATTGTTCATCAGAATTGTTTCAAATTTGGTATTTAAAGTTTGTAATGGATACTACTGCCTATGACAGAAAATTGTCTGTGCAGGTCCACGTCTTCGTATAGCCCCCATATATCGGTACCTCCCGATATTGGGTATTTTGATGATTTTAGCGACATTTGTCACCGAAATTGTTTCAAATTTGGTATTTGAAGTTCGTAATGGATACTACAGCCTATGACAGAAAATTGCCCGTGCAGGTCCACGTCTTCGTATAGCCCTCATATAACGGTACCTCCCGATATTCGGTATTTTGATGATTTTGCCTATATTATTCAACGATTTTTTTTTTCAAGTTTCGCATTTGAATATTGTATGGCTTATGACAAAAGTTGCCTATGCAGGTCCACATCGTCGTATAGACCCTAATACAACGTCTATATTCGGTATTTTTACAATTTTAACAGAATTTTTAACGGATTTTATTTATTTTTTTGAAAATTGCCAAATTCGTTCCAAGTGGTGGAGGGTTTTCAAAGTTCGGTCCGGCCGAACTTACAGCTTTTTTACTTGTTTATATTATGAAATAATAGCTAAGCAGAGATTGACGCAAAAGGTCCATGAACTTGGCCATAATTAAATTTTGTTTTGCCATTCGTTTTCGAATTGAATTAATTATTAGCTTAGGATTGCACTTTAAATGAAACAAATGAAAAAATCCGCACATATTGTATGAAGTCGATTTTTGTCAATTTATTGGAAATATTCAGCATAGGGTTGGTGTTCAAAGAATTTGGCAATATATGCCTTGGCCACCAAACTAATGGCCTTTGTGAGACCTGGTTGGATTTCATGGAATATCTCACTCCAATTGGCATTTAAAAAGTCATTTGTAGTCGTCTGCAAGGATGCATCACCATCGAACAGATGGTCGAAGAAAAAGTGCACATGATCAGGTTCAAATTGCAGCTTGACATGCTCCAAGGCGGCATAGATTTTTCCATCTTTTTCCACTTTTTTGAAGTCCCATGAAAAGTCGAATTTAACATTTTCTGGTAAATAATTATGTTTTAAAATGTAAATATTAATAATTTGTGAAATTCTATTTAAGCCATTACTTACTGCACTTGATTTCACAATCTCCATTGCCTTTAATCGGTAATACCAATACATTGCCATCGAGTGTGTATTTGCCTTTAATTGTCAACGAGGGAATTACACCAGCTATGACATTACGGCCACTCATGTCTTCCTTCAAGCCTCTACAATTAAAAGATGAAACCAGAAGAGTTACCTTCCCTCATCTCCCATAACCGGGGTGTGGCATAACACTTACTGGAATTTATCAATTTTTACCGCTTTAAAACCCTCCACAATAACATCCTTTAATTTAATATCGACATTAACCGGACTCGAGGGATTCCTCTCCACATTTAATTTTTTAACCGGGAATGGCTCAATTGGTAGCAAACTAACATCTGGCAAGCCCGCAAAGTGATGCTGCAGAATATCAGCAGCACCTTTCAGCAAACAGGATTCATCGCCATGTTTACATTTGGGAAAGTTGGGTGCTAAAATAAAATTAAATTATTAATTAAAAATATATTAAAAGAAAGTCCATTACTTACGATATGCTCCACAGGCAACTTGCAGTATTAGAAACGAAATAAAAATACAAAATTTCATGGTCAATGAATTTAGCTTAGCAGACGTTCGTTGTATCACCAACAGCTTCAACTGTTCAAAATGAACTTCTAAATTGTTTACAAATGCCGGCCAAATTTATATGCCTAAATTTTATTATTAAATGTTTTGTTATTCTCATCAAGCAAAATATTATTTTTGAAGAAACCGGTTTCAATACATTTTGCATCTTTAATACAGTACTTGTTTTTTAGATGTAATCCATATTTTTTAAATGCATTGATCTTAGCGATAATTTCACTTTTTTACGATGCAAAATGTAATTAATTGAATTGAAACCAACGCCTAACGCCTTGGTTTCCTCCAATCCTCCAATCATTGCCCAGAGACTAATTTTTTTGACAGTTAAATATAAATTCTTAATTTTTTTATTTAAATATTTTTTGCACGTGTTTTCGTATTATTGGAAATGTATATTTAGTAAATATTTAATGATCCGAAAAAATAAACAAATAATAAAATCTGATTCAATGAATATAGGATGAGTTAAAAAAACTTCAAAAAATCAAACGCCATAATTTTTACATTTGTTTTTTTTTTTATATTTTATTTTTTGAAGTTCGACTTTGATAAATTATTTTTAATCTGAAAAATATTCAATCCAATGCATCACCATTCAATTATTTTGATTTATTATTATTTCGAACAGCGTCTTTTGATTAGATTATTTAAGAATGGGCAAAAAACGTAGACCATTCGGAAATGACTCTAATTCTAATGAAAAAATTATTTTTCGTTTTTATACCCTCAGCCATATGGCTACATAGGGTATATATCATTTTAATTAAAACAAGTTTTGGATTTTAAAATAAGTCATGGGACAAACAACTGGAAAACAATTAACAATTCCATTAAAATGGGGAAATTTGTAATTTTTTTTTTTTTGCCAGAGAACTTGCAGCATCTTTCTTGCATACCTTGCAAGGTGATAGAAAATTCTGTACTTTAAAAAAAATGTTTCATTGTTTCAATGTTTATATTTCATCGGTTTACATCATTCTCAGATGTTTTACAAAATACTTTAGTTGAAATTCGAGAATTCTATTTGTAATTGGAAACATTTCGATTGTAATGTGAGGTTACAATTGGAAATTCGCATTTTTCTGTTTGAGATTTGAAATAAAAAAAACAAGTAGAAAAGCTGTAAGTTCGGCCTGTCCGATCTTTGAATACCATCCACCATTGGGAACGATTTCGGCAAAAAAATAACAACCGTTAAAAATTCTGTTAAAATCTTAAAAATACCGAATGTAGCCATTACATTAGGGTCTATACGGCAACTTTTGTCATCAACCATTATAAATATTCAAATGCGAAACTTGGATATAAACAAGTATAGAAGCAGTAAGTTCGGCCGGGTTGAACTCTGAATACCATCCACCAACGAATATGGAAATTTTCCAAAAATAACATTCGCCAAAAATTCTATTGTTGTACGTGGGCTATACGATATCTTGAACCTATATAGATATTTCTTTTCCAGGGAGTAAAGTGCTGGGAAAGAACTTCTAGTATGGATTTTTAGACAATTCCATTGAAAAATGTTGCTAAAATACCGAATATAAGAAGGTACCGTTATATTGGGGCTATACGATTATATAGACAATTCTCTTGCAGGGGGTAAATTATTCAAAAGGATCTCCTTGTGTTTATTTTCAGACAATTTTATTGAAAAATGTGGCTAAAGTCATCAAAATACCGAATATCGGGAGGTACCGTTATATGGGGGCCATGCAAAAACGGGGACCTATACAGACAATTTTCTGCCATAGGCTGTAGTATCCACTACGAACATCAAATACCAAATTTAAAAGAATTCCGGTGAATAATGTCGCTAAAATCATCAAAATACCGAATATTGGGTGGAGCCGTTATGTGGGGGCTATATGAAGGCGTGGAACGGCTCGGACAATTTTCTGTCATAGGCTGTAATATCCATTACGAACTTCAAATACCAAATTTGAAACAATTTCGGTTAATAATGTCGCTAAAATCATCAAAATACCAGGTACCGCTATATGGGGCCTATACGAAGACGTGGACCTGCACAAACAATATTCTGTCATAGGCATCAGTATCCATTACAAACTTCAAATACCAAATTTGAAACATTTCCGTGAAAAATATCGCTTAAATCACCAAAATACCGAAAATAGGGAGGTACCATTATATGGGGGCTATACCAAAACGTGGACCTACATGACCTATTTTCAATACCAAATATCCTGCAGACATAATACACATTTGAGTAAAATTTTATCAACCTACTTCATTTCGTTCGGAAGGTAGAGTGATTTCCACAGACGGACGGACATGGCTAAATCGACATAGAATATTATGCTGATCAAGAATATATGTACTTTATGGGGTCTAAAATGTTTATTAATTAATTGAGCGAAACATACTTCCAGAAGTGCTCCATCCTGACATGCAAGTCATTGTGAATTGAACGTATGAAAACGTGAAGAAAAATTTAGGCAGTATGAGGGGTTTCAATCACAATGGTATTTTTCGTCGCTACTTACCAGAGGGCTGCAATGAGTATGATCGAGTAGGCTTGATCACACACAGTGGAAATACAATCAAACTCAATCAGTCGGTCAGATGCAACATGTTCATTCGAGTTACTCAAGCCAAACGAAAAAGTTGTGATCAAACATGTATTGATCGAAGTTTTGTGATCGCAATCAAACAGCTCACATGAGTTATTTGTTTACGAACTTATGTTGAATTGTTCATAACGGGTCGATCATCTATGAGGAGTCTTGTCGGTTTGATTCATCCCAGTTAAGTGAGTGATTTGATTTGATTAAAACACAAATGTTCGAAACTGAGCGAAATCATGATTGTAATTTTACAAAGGATTTCATAAACAATGTTTTCGTTTTATTTGTTTTTTTGGTGTGTTAGACTTCAGTGACTTATTTGAAAAAAAAAAAAAAAAACAAAATTAAATTTTTTAATAAAGAAACACATCATTGGTATTTAGAAAACTAAAAATGTTTAAATATTTTTTTTTATTTTACAATATTGGTCAAGATTTTTCACAAACTTCGACCTCTTCGTTTACCTACACCTGTGTAGTTTCTACTTGCAACAATTTCGTTCGCACTATCACAATATTCTTCCAAATTCAAATATTAAAAAAGTCAAAATAAACTGTCCTAATTTGATTAAATGGTTGAATAAACACTGACGCTGAGCGAACTCGATTCAAAGAAGACAATCACGGTTGTGATTGCTCATTTACATTCATGTGTTCGATCAACTCACGTTGCTGAACACATCAAACCGTCTCGAACGCTCATGTTTGATTGTGAGTGAAGTGATTCAAACTGAGCGTTCGATTCGATCCGAAGCGAAAACGGTCATTTCATTCAGATCAAACTAAACGACTGCATCAACAAAAATCAGGTAAGAAACCGAGTATGCTTGAATTTTTGCATACTCGTTGCAGCCCTCTGCTACTTACATGACCTGTTTAATGGGCGTCGGGACTACCCAAAGCATGCAAATTGTAGTAGAACTTTCTCCATGTCCTCTTGAGATGATAGGGCTTATGAATTTATCGTATGATTGTACTCGGTGGAAGATATAATCTGATATTATCAGTTATTATATAGGAAGAACAAATCACAGGGATAGATACTTGATTTGTAGTGGGCCTTTTTACCGCCACCGACCGAAATCGTTTCGAATGCATTTCATCTAAAATGTATTTACAATAACTCTGATAAAAAACAGTTTCAGTAAAGATATTTTGTAACCACTGATTTAAAATAAGCCTCAAAGTATGCAGTACCAATCAACAATTAATTCTAGAGATTTTTCTTTTTTGCCAAAAGATGTCGTGCCATCGATCCATGAACATATCAAATCATGGAATATTATTTGACCCAATAATTTTCCAATGCAAAAAATCAGGGCCTTTATTCTGCCTATTTTCATTATTACTTATCGGCCCATTTGACTTTTCGATTTGTTTCCACTTTTCCAATGAATGCACTAAAAAGCCCTGAGGAAAATCTAATGCAAAATGAGTTTAATTTTTCATTGGGTGTTGCATTGCGAATTAGCAATAACTAAAACAGGAGAGCTCGATAACCTGATATGGTAATATTTAGACAGAAAGTTCTTAGTTATAGAAAACTCCTGTCTTTGAAAGATCTTTATAAAGTTATTAATTTTTTAGAGCCCTGTAAGTTTTTCTTTAGAGTGCCTCTCTCTATAACAAATCCTTAAATTTTAGGGTCTTTTTTATTGAAGTTATTAATTTTTTAGAGCCCTGTACGTTTTTCTTGATAGCGCCTCTCTCTATAACAAATCCTTAAATTTTAGGGACTTCTTTTTGTACAGGACCTCTTTAAATTATAGAAGATCTTCTAAAATACCACAATATGGTCGTATATCTCTAGAGGACCTTTAGAATGCCTTTTTGGATGGATATCATTATTTTTACACTGGCGAAGAAACGAAATTTTATTTACGATTGGGTTAACTCCGAATTCGTGCCGAAGTATCCAAAAGAGACCTCAAAATGGTGAAATTTAATCGAAATTTGGAAAAATTTTACTTAGAAAAGTTTTTTTTTGATTTATGGATCTCTTTAGAGATTTCAATATGTATTTCACGCTGAGTCGGAGAATGTAGGTGGAGGTCTTTTCCAGTAGAAAAAAACGAGAAATTTTAAAATCATTCGAACGAACCTGTTTAATATTTTTATTTATATTTTAATTCTAAAACATGTTTTTTAAAACTTATAGGAAATAATCGGCATAAGGATATTTCTTGAAGAATGAATTCACCAAGGACTTTACAATCAAACTAATAGACTTTGATATGTCCGCTTGTATTTCACGATACAATTCCTTCCAGTTGGCATTGATGAATTCATTGGTGGTGTCCGTCAGCGCCTTGTCACCATCAAACAATGAGTCAAAGTGAAATTCCACATGTTCAGGTTCGGCTTCCAATTTAACATGCTCCAGGGCGGCATGGGTTTGACCATTTCTTTGAATGGATTTCAAATCAAAGGCATATTTAAATTGGAGATTTTCTAAAGAAATTTAAGAATTAAGATTAGAAGGGGTAGGGAAATGTAATTATGGCAAGGCTTCACTTACTGCACACCAATCTTAGGGTACCCTCACCCTTTATTGGCAGTATCATAACTTGTCCATCAATAATGTAATGGCCCTTGAAGTTTAGGTGTTCTATTATTCCGGTTAATGAGTTGCGGCCACTTAGATCAGATTTGAAGCCCCTGATATGTAGATATTTTTTTTAAATACATAATAAAATATGAAAAAAATGGAACTTACTGCATATGAGAAACATTCATGGTCTTTAGTCCCTCCAATTCCAAATCACTTAGCTTAACCTCAACATTAACCGGACTGGAGGGATTTCTCTTCAACATCATGGTTTTGATGTGCAAAGGATCGAATTGTGTTAGACCGATTTCTGGGAGTCCTGCATAGTATTTTCCTATGACCTCATTGGTGGCCTTGACAATGCAAGTTTCTTCGGCAAATTTACACTTGGGAAAGTTGGGAGCTAAGGAGAGAGAGAGAGATAATCGTCTTACACTTTTTACCTTAAACCAAGGACTTACGAAACTGAGTCTGGACCACAGCCAAAATTGTTAGCACACCAAAGGCGGTCAGGAATTTCATTTTTAATTTATTAATTGGAACTTTACACCACCGTAGCTAAAATTTAACTGAAGATTTCATTACCAATATTTTCATTTTATATAATTTTTAATATACTATTTATGTTTTGTACTCAAATGTCATTGTCCTATTCGAATTTAAAGGGGTTATAACTATCTTGTAAATATTACACACTCAACATGACACCACAAAATTCAGTGGGTTTTGGGGGGTTTTTACTTTGTAATGTCTCAGATCCAATTGTGTCATAAGTCATATTTCGAACACGAGCTCATTCAATTTTATTTAATTTTAATTGACGGCATGTAGTCTGCTTGTTGTGTCCGGGCAAAATTACCCCGTTTGTAGAACATAAGCAGCAGTTTGTTTGCAATTTTTTTTTATTTACAATATGTGTCACAGGAAAACAATCGTATAAATTTAAATGTAATTTAAATTTCATTACCGGCGTGTGTCGGATTAATGCCAGCGATAGTAGTAAGGAAGAATTGACGAAAATATTCGATATTGGAAAATATGTATATAGAATGGTTTTATTGCACTAACATAGAAAATCCTTCTATCCAACACCTCTAGAATGTCCTCTGTAAGGGAGATCTCTGAAAGATTTTTTTTACCTTACAAGATCTCCATAAAGACTCATCTATAACAAATCACAGACTATCTATACAATAACATAAAAAGGCCTCTAAAAATCGTCTCCTCCTTATCACCCACAAAATCAAACACAGGGTTTATACCCTAGGGTCAATGAAATGATTAAGTCATATCAGTGCGGTTCTAGACCTGGCAAATCCATCATCATCCCAAGCTGGACTACGGAAATACAGATTAAAATCTACCATATTTTTGTTGATTAAAAGGCAGGTTTTTCGAGCCCTTTAAGTTCAAAGATATTCCAAGCCATGTCTGAATCTGATATCCCCGCATGGCGCATAAGTCATTAGCTGACTTGTAGCTATCAGTGAAAATATTAAAGTACCTCTCTGAACTTCACAGTGTCAGACAAGGAGACAGCCTGTCGTGTGATCTTGTTAATATCCTGCTGCAGAATGTCTTGCGAGATACAGAAGTGAATAGAAATGGCACCATATATACAAAAACGTTCATGTTAATGCTTATGCTGACAAAATGACGTTTCAGATATTTTTGAAAAAATATAGGAGTATGCTAAAGGGGGGTATGGTAGTAAATGGTGATAAACCATGCTGATTGTATAAAGTTGTTACGTACCAGCTGAAGTCCAACTGTGGAAGGTGGTAACTACAAGTTTGAAGTAGTTAATGACCTCATTTACCTAGGCACAGCTATAAATACGGCTAATAACATCAATCCGCGTTAAAGGTGAATATCGTCATCGTATAATTCTATCCGTTCTCCCCAGACATTGAAATAGTTAAACGTATCGAACTATGCAAATCCACTTTATATCCACTTTTATGTGAAGTCATAAATTCCGATAAATTACATATACATATCAGATTTCTGGTTAAGAGAAATATTTACCAAGTTTTAAAGAATCGAATTGTTCCGCAAGTTATGACAGATAAAATTATTGAAAATTGTGACCCTTTGTGGGTGAGGTACGATAAGGGGTTCGTAGATATCTATCATTTTCACAACAGATCTTGAGTTATCAAAAATATTTATGTGAGTGTGGAATTTGAAGAAAATTGAATGCTTATTTCGCTTTCCTTGGGCAGAAAGGAATGTTCCGATCTCTATAAAAGATGTTGTATTGATGGAAATATTGAGATGGTCAAAGTCTGAATGGAATCGGATATTAATTTAATGAGCTTCATGGACATTCAAAATTATGACCCTTTGTAGTGGAGGTACCAGAAGGATTGGACCGATCTTTACACCAGACCAAAAATATTGTGATATGTATAGTTTGAAGACAATCTCACTTTTACACCACATTTTATAAGAGTTTTAATTATTCAAAATATGGATCCTTTGTGGGGGAGGTACTAAATGAAGTGGCCCGATATTATCCATTCTCGCTCCTGACCTAGCACTAATGCAAATATTAGGATTTGCCAAGTTGGAGCAAAATCGGATTGTTCTTTCTTTCTCTGTGCAGTAAAATATTTTCTTTGAAAATTTCGACATTTTGTGGGGTAGGTATCAGAAGGAGTTGACCGATATTGCACAATAGTCCAACGGATTGATATCCGGAGATCCGGAAATGAATCGAGGAACCTCATTTTGTAACCATTCTTGGGTGGCGCGTGCTGAGTGCGATGGTGCTGAATATTTTCGCCATAATATTCAGCATTTATTCTGATGACACGATCGATTAATACGAGCGGAGAGCGACCATTGGCTGTTATGGCGGCCCACACCATCATCATGGCCAGTGCTTGAGTTCTGATAGCCAACCGAAGGTGCACATATTCAAATGACATCTTTGGCAAGCAAACGCAATCATTTTGTTTGTTCACAAACTGCTGGACAACGAATGTTTTCTCATCAGAGAAAGCCAAATTCGGCAGTTCACCACTTTCCGCCAAGCGAAGCATCTCTTTATCTCTTTTGAATCTATTTCTGTTGCGTTGTAAGTTCTTGCACTTTTTGGAATTTCAATGGCTTTACCACGAGCTTGTTTTACAATATTTGCCGAATGGAAAAAATGACAGCAGTCTGAAATTGGTTGCAATTTTTTTTTCATCTCACCCTGTATTGCATTCTTGGACAGCATAACGATATGCGAAAACAAACTCTTTTCATAATTTTCTTAACTAATTTATTCGTAACATATAAACATATCTACAAAGTATAACAACCGAACGTCATTTATCACATTTTACAAAAAATGATCCGCAAAGGGATGCTTATCGTAGAAGGCATTAATCATTTGTTTTATCAGCAAACTCAGCGATTTCGAAAAGCTTGGCAATATTTCTTTGGTAATATCCTTGGAGTTGGTGTTGATGAATTCATTCATATTGTCGCCCAAGGCTTTGTCGCCATTGAACAGGTTTTCAAAGTGGAAATATGTTTCTCCTGGTATCAAATCCATTTTGACATGTTCCAATACGGCATAGGTTTTGCCATCTTTTTCCAGGTGTTTCAAATCAAATGCATATTTGAGTTCTATGTTTTCTGCAAATATCAGTTAGAGTGTCTTAGTTCCATTAAAATTTACAGATCTCTCACTTACTCATTTTAATTTCACACTGGCCATTGCCAACAATGGGCAGCAAGAGAACACGTCCCTCCATTTCATAGTGACCTTTTAGTACGACTTCGGGTACAGTAGCTTCGAAAATGTTGCGACCCTTCATGTCGGCATTCAGACCACTGTTGTATTGTGAAAAATTAGTTTTTTTTGTTATTCATATTTGTGTTCGGAACTTACTCAAACTTGGTGACATGCATATTCTTCAATCCCTGCAATTCGACATCGGTAAATTTAAAACCCACATTCACTGGGCTTGTGGGACTCTTTTCCAATTCGAATACTTTGATACGCAATGGATCGAAGGGTAATAAATTCACATCCCGATTGCCGCCATAGTATTTCTGGGTAACTTCATTGGCAGCTTTAACGAGACAGGAGCCATCACCATTCTTACATTTTGGAAAATCCGAAGCTGGCAACGAAGAAGATAAACAATAATGGAATGGAAGGCACAAAACACTTTTTGAACGAATTTAATTTTCTTTCTTTTTATTTCTTTTTAAAGATTTCAATATTTTTGTTTTTCAAATTTCCGTGTGTGATATTTACAAACACTACTCACGATAATCGGCCCGCACCAGCGTTACAAACAAAATACTGCAAATAATTGTTAAACGTTTCATTTTCACTTAAGCTATGGCGATTTGCTCAAATACCCGAATCTAATTTAACTGTAACAGTGCCGCCGTTTCGTTTCGCTTTTTATACCTAATTTGTTTTGGTTTAGAACGTTTGAAACGTCACATTTGCAAATTTAGAAAACAAGTTTCGGCAATTGATATGCCAGCCTTCTCGTTGATTTCCAGCTTTTCAGATACGGACCCTACTTTGGATTAATAATTCGGAATTATGTCATTGTATTGTTTGTTTAATGTCGATATTTTAAATATCTCTTTGACGCTGATGAGCATTTGGGCGCCATAAGAGAATATGAATCAAAAAAGAGGTTCTTTCTAAGGTCGAACAGTAATATAATCTTGATGTCTTATTTTAAAAAGACATTTGATACACTCAGACACGCGATATTAACTGAAATACATGCGTGACGCAAAATTTTTGGAAAAAACAGAAAATCGATAATCTATTTTATATTGATAATCTAAAATTTTACACCCTCGTACCAGCTATAACATACTACGAACGCATATGATTGTTCGCTGGTGGCTGCTCTGCTTGATTGTCGATGTCGTATATATATATGATCGGTTGATAGTTATCTACTTAATTTATCTAGTCAAAACAGCATAAAAGTATACATTACCAAGACGACTACAACATAAGTATTGATAGGTTATTAATTTTGACCACCAATCTCCCAAAACTAGTATAGGTTTCATTCTAAAGCCAATTAAGTCAGAACTTTGAGAATTTGAACACGGTCGTTAAGAAAACATTGTTGACCTCTTCAAACTCGGTAGGCAGATATGTGGACTGCCAATGTAAGTGTTTTCCAATTTGAAAATGTTCAGTGATACCTAGACACCACAATAAACTTGTCTTCCTGTGATTTCAATAGTCCATTTCTATAAAGAAATTTTTGAAATATTTCAAACCGGCAACTAATACACGATGAATGTTTTATTTAAACGTTGGGCGCCATTTAGTCTCCGGTTTTCTGATACCCTACCCTCTCTCTCTCTCTCTCTCACATGGAACGTTAAAATGTATATGTACAGGGGGAGATAAAAAAAAAAAAAAAAAAAACTGCAACAAAGTCAAACGCCATAATTTTTACATTTTTTTTTTTAATTTTATTGAATAAAAGCCAAAAAATATCGGAAATAGCATCAAATTTTAAAATAAGTTTAGATTTGTTCGAATTGGTCAACTTTGGTACGAATTATGGCCTTCAAACAACCAATGAAA